ACACGACGTTCTTCCACTCAGAGTTAAGCCGAGGCGCCGGCAAGTGGCATGGTGACTAAGGCACTGGGCTCCCACGTGGCCGACTGGGCAGTTTGAGTCCTGGACCCTGCAACTTGACAATCACACTGGGTGCGTGTGCACCTCAGATCCCAAGAGGAGAAGAACAAACAGGGACTGCAGCAAGGCCATCCCCCCGGGATGAGTTCTCACTTTCCCTCTGTCTCTGGCAAGCACACATGTCCTATAGCAAAACTTTTAAAAGTTAAACAAACAAAAAAGCTAGAATAGATATTCCAGAAATAAACCCTTACATATATGCTGAAATGATTTTTTAAAAATATTTGTTATCGGGCATGTAATGCTCACTGGAGGAAGCGGGGAGGGGGTATGGTCACACCACAATTCCTTCTCCCCCATTCTCCTGTTGCAATTTGAGGTACACATGTACATGCACCCACCATTTTTCAAGTCGCTGGGTCTGGGGCTCAAACCACACAGTTAGCCACGTGGGATCCAGCTGCCTTAATCACCAAGCCATAAGCTGGTTCCTTCAATAATTTATTTTTAGAGAGGTTTTTGCTATAGGGCTCATGCGCTTGCCAGAAAGACAGAGAGACAGAAAGCCAGAAATCACCCCCCAGGGGGGATGGCCATGCCACAATCCTTTCTCCTCCATTCTCCTCTTGGGATCTTAGGCACGCATGCACACGTGCCTGGTGTGAGTTTAAGCCACCGGGTATGGGACTTGAACTGTGGTCAACTACATGGGAGTCCAGCGACATAGCCATTACACCAACTGCTGCTCTCGCTTTAGTAATTTTTGACAAGGGTGCCAACACCATTCAATAGGGGAAGGACAGTTTTTTCAACAAGTAGTGCTGAGAAAACTAGATATCCACACGCAGAAAAAAAAAAAAAAAATTGAAGTTGGACCCTTAGCTAACACCATAGACAAAAATTAACTCAAAATGGATCAAATACCTAAATGTAATACCTAAAACTATAAAACCATTAGAAGAAAACAGGGCCAAAGCTTCATGACACTGGTTTTGACAATGATTCCTTGGATAAAACACCGAAAGTACAGGCAACAAAAGAATAACTAGGCAAAGTGAAGGAGTTCGTGAAATTTTTCATTTTTTGTACACCAAAAGAAAATATAAACAGAAAAAAGATCATCCATGGAATGGGAGCGAACATCCAAATCACATATCTGATCATATCGATAAATTAATATCTTTAATATAGAGAGAACTTCTAAACACAACAACAGAAATACAAAACGATCCAAACATAGGCAAAAGACTAGAAGAGGTCACTTTATTTTCTTTGTTTGAGAGATGTTTTGCTAAAGGGCACGTCACGTGCTGGAGAGACAGAGAGACAGAAAGCAAGAAATCATCCCCGCCCCCGGGGGGATGGCCACGCCGCCATTCCTTCTCCTCCATTCTCTTCTCAGGATCTTGGGCACGCGCACACACACACCTAGCGTGAGTTTCAAGCTGCCAGGTCCAGGACTCAAACCGTGGTTGACGACATAGGAGTCTAGAACCTTAACCACTACACCATCTGCTAGCCCCATAGAACAGATGTTTCTCCAACAAAGATATTCAGATCGCCACGCAACATGAAAATGTGCTCAATGTCGCTAAGTGCTGGGGAAATGCAGATTAAAGCTACAGTAAGATACGACTTCACACTTGTCAGGATGACTACTATTTTTTTTTTAAAAAAAGAAACAAATGGTTATAATGGTCAACTTTGTGTTCTGTGTATTTTATCACAATAAAAAAAAAAAGTTCTGCCGCACCTAACGGCCTTGGATTTACACTTGGTTTAGAGGAAAAGCGAAGTCTCGTGTCCCAGATTTGGGGCCAGTGGCAGGGTAGAGGGGAGGGGAACACCAGGAGACGCAAAGACGAGAGGAGGACTTCAGCGGAAAGAGGATTCAGGGCTAGAGGTGGCCGGGAGAACGACGACCCACTGCCACTCGTGCAAGTCGGACAACCCCGCCTCTCCCCGCCCTGCCCAGGACTTGTCCTGGACAGAAACTGGGTCTTATCGAGGCACTAAGGAGCATGGGACCCCACTGACACTGAGCTACGGTTGCTGGTCCAGCCTGAGCCTTGTCCGTCAGGCCCTCTCGAAAGCCATAAGGCCTTCTCAGAGATGCGAGAGACCATGTATCTGTCCCAGCCAGGTATGGGGGGGAGACGGACCCCAACAGAGAAAGGGTGACAGATGGTTTCGTGGCAGAGGTCAGCAGGCTGCACCACGAGGGCCTTCGGGCAAGAGGACAGGACCACTGGAGAGGCGGCCCGGCGAAGAGCACGGAAGGCGGGGGAGGAAGTCGATCCCTCTGCCCCGAGAACACTGGCCAGGAGGCAGGACCAAGGCGCTCCAGGAGAGCCAGGCAGATCCTGCTCCTGTCCTGACCCAACGGGTAGGACAGGGGCCACGGGCCGCGCCCGGAGAGTGGAGGCTTTACGTGAGCAGGCAGCCGGGGTCAGGCAGACAGACCCTAGGCCCCCGAGCCCCCTTAGGACAAGTTTCTCCCTAGAGGCCCCCACTCTTCGCCATTCCTCTCGGGGTCCTCTCCATCCCCGGAGGGCCCCCCACGCCTGCCTTGAGGTTTACGATGGACAGGGAAGATCTTTACCACAACCTGGAGTACGGGAGAATGCCTTTCCGTGAGCAGCTCTTCCAATGGCCGGAATGTGGCTTCCCACTGGGGTGGGCCCTGAGGAGCCCTAGAGGGCTGGGAGAGGCAGAGGGTGGAAACAATGAAGAGAAAGGAAACTGAGCTGTGAGATAGAGAGGGGACAGATCTCACAGGTGTGACCACAGGGCGTGACATTTTATGAGCAACATGGAAACTGCAAAGTCCCTGAATGAAAAATGTCCTGGGCAAATAAGCCACCCGCATCTCGGTCACAGAGAGCGCCGGGGGAGGCTGCTGGCCCCTGTGCCCCAAGGCCTCGGGGAAGCCCACCGTCCCGTATCCCCAGATCAGTCATTCCAGAACCAGAATGGGAAAGACGACACAGGGGTGCATCTGTCACCCCAAGGGCTAAAGGAGGAGATGCCCCAGAGCCCTGGACACCAGGGACTGCCCTAGCCGGGAGGAGGGGAGGATAAAGATGGTTCCAGGGTGAGGACAGTGCGCAGAGTCCGAGAGGGAGGGCAGACGGGTATGGTGGTATCCAGACCACTGGCCGGCATGAAGACTGAAGGAAGTCCCATGTCATCTCCTCACCCAGAGCGTGAAGTCCTGGCTGCAATTCCGAGCAATTCTGCGGGGGCAGGACGGTGGTGCAGCAGTAACACAGCACTCTGCAAGGACGACCTCATGGGAAGGTTTCGGGTTCACATCCAGAGCCTTCCCTGAGAACTCCGGGCATGCACATGTGCCCAGGATCCAGGGCTGGCTGAAGCTGGGGGTGCAACACAGTGTGAAGACCCTGTGAGGGTTGTCTGTCTGTCTGCCTGTCTCTCACACACAAAAAATAAGTTTTTGTTTTTGTTTTTAAGAGAGATTTTTGCTATAAGGTGCGTGCACTCGCCAGAGACACAGAGACAGAAAGCAAGAAGTCACTCCTCCAGGGAGATGGCCACACCACAATCCTTTCTCCTCCATTCTCCTCTCAGGATTTTTAGGCATGCACACACACACACATACTCGGTGTGAGTTTTAAGCCACCAGGTCCAGGACTCAAACTGTGGTCAACTATGTGGAAGTCCAGTGATGTAACCATTATGCCATCTGCTGGTCCCAAGAAAGTTTTGAAAAATAGTCTGTAGTTGGGGCTGGCAGGTGGCGTGGTGGTTAAGGACGCTAGACTCCCACAGGGCCAACCACAGTTCAAGTCCCAGACCTGCCGGCTTGCTTTCTCAATTTCCCTCTCTCTCTCTCTCACTCTGTCCCTCTCTGGTCAAATTACAAAATAAATAAAGTTAAATAAAAATACTTCTTTAAAACAAAAACAGTCTGGGGAACCAGCGGTTAGTGTAATGGTTATGTTGCAGCGTGACCATCCCCCCTGGGGGGTGATTTCTCGCTTTCTGTCTCTCTGTCTCTGTCTGTCTGGCGAGTGCACGCACCCTGTAGCGAAAACCTCTTAAAAAAAAAAAAAAAGGAAAAAAACAAAAACAGTCTGCACCAAACTCCCACTGCCATAAGACCAGAACCTCGGTGGATGCAAAGCTAGTTAGAGCCATTCCTCATCCCACTTAACTGAAAGTATTCCGTGGTTGTGCTGCACAAATGTTTGATTGGAGCATGCTTCAACTGCAGCACGGTGTTTTGTAGCACGTTTCTTTTCAAATCTGGGAAACTCTCCATTCCAAAACTTATCTGACCCCAAGAGTTTCAAATAAAAGTTGGTTGATCTGTATTCAATCCCACTCTCCTTCCTTCTTAAACAGGCTGTATCTGAGAGAAGGGATGGCGGTAGTGGAGAGGACCTGTGTCTTCGCTCGTACACCATGGACGGGGTGGCAACGTGGGCATCTTTGTGGACAGGTATGGTGGGGGGCTCTACGCCCAGCATCCTAACTTGTTAGCACAGCAGGCAGGGCCAGCAGGGGGCATGGACTTTAAGACAGCTGGATCCCACATGGCTGATTTTATGGCTCAAGCCCGAGGCCCAGCAGTTTGAAAACCATGCCAGACGCATGTGCCCCACACCCCAGTGGAGAAAGGAGAAGGGACTGCGGTGTGGACATCGCCCACAGGGGTGATTTCTCACTTTCTGTCTCTCTCTCTCTGAGGAGCATACGTGCCCATAGCCAACTGAAAGAAAACATGATAAACAAAAGCAGCAGGCAGAGATGGGTTAAATGCCTCGTGGGCACAGAGAGACGGAAGCCAAGAAGGAGCCCGTGTTCTGGAAGAGACATCTTTGAAGTGCAGCAGGTGTTCTCACAAAGTCTGCCCTTTGATACGCTCCGCTCCCTCGCTGGCGGAAAGTGGGGAGAGGTGGAGGGTGCTGCTAAAAAAAAAAAAAAAAAAAAAAAAAAGCCACAACAGCGCTTCAGCGACTCTCGAAGGTCAGCTTGCCATCCGAGGCAGACGACTCAGAAAGGAACTGCAGCTGCTACCCCGTTGGTGCAGACGAGGCGCCCACACAGGCGGCTAGGGAGGGGCGTGCGGTCAGCAGCCGAGCCAGAACGCGCTCCCAGCTAGGAGCCATGGCCTGGCCACCTCCCTGCTGGCTGTGTGTTCTGGGGACCTTAGCGGGGCTCTCAGCCTCCCCGGCCCACAGGAGCTGTCCAGAGAAGCACTACGAGACCCAGCAGGGGCTGTGCTGCCCGCTGTGCGAGCCAGGTAAGGGCCCGGCAGGTAGGGGCAGGTGGGGAGGACGGGGTCGAAGGCTCAGGGAAGCCTAGGGTGAGCCTGACCTGAGCTCAGCAAGAGGCACCCCAGAGGGTACAGAAGGGCCTGCCCTGGGCTTTGACGTGACCCTGTCTCAGGGACGTTCCTGGTGAAGGACTGTGACCAGCACCGAAAGGCGAGTCAGTGCGACCCGTGTCTACCAGGGATCTCCTTCTCGCCAGCCCACCACGCCCGGCAGCACTGCGAGAGCTGTCGGCACTGCAGCTTCGGTGAGGGGGGCACAGGGGCGCGGGCGGTGCCCTGGGCAAGTGTCCGGGGAGCAAGGCTGAGGAAGGGAAGGAAAGGTGACCCTGGCCCTCTGTGGACCTCAGCACCCATGTCTGTAGGTGAGGGACTGTGGGCTAGCCTGGAATTCCGTGCACAGGTCACACGTGATAAGCAGGGCCCAGGTGTCCGGGTACCATCGCTGAAGCGCGGCCGCCCAGCCGTTTCTAGCCAGCCCCAGCCCCAGGCCCTTCTTCAGCCCTCCCGTCGGCAGACACCCTGTGATCACCCACTTCCTACCACCACTGACTGTGCCCGTCCCGTCCAGGCCTCTCACCCTCTGCCCTTGCAGACCCTTGTCCGGGCTGGGTCCCAATTCCTGACAAGTCACAAGGAGACTGAGTGCTAGCAGCAACTCAGAGTCGGAACTCAGAAAGAGGCCATGGGGCGCAGGACGAGAGGCTGTCCCTCTCCCACCCTGACAGGCACTAAAGAACAGTTGGTATGGGGACCAGCAGTTAGCGCAATGGCTAAACTCACGCCGGGCCCGTGTGCGTGCATGCCCAAGATCCCGAGAGGAGAATAGAGGAGAAGGGATTGTGGCGTGGCCATCCCCCTGGGGGTGATTTCTTGCTTTCTGTCTCTCTGTCTCTCTGTCTGTCTGGCGAGCGCAAGCG